AAAAAGTAACTCTAATACTAGATCTTGTGCAAAATCTTAGAAACCGGAGACTGATGAAAATCCTAAGTTGATTATTTAAAGGAAACATATAGTTTGAATGCGAAGTATAGGTCATTTTAAATGGATAAATATAATACAAGACTCAGAAAAGGGACTATTGTAGAGGTGGCCAAAGTAACTCGGAGAAAACACTTTATGACTGTAACGTACAAGTGCAGACATTTGTAATATGATTTTATCTCCCACACATGCGTTATAAAACTAGTTAGAAAGATAATAACATCTCTACATCATATATTAAATTTATTTATTAGATTTATCTAACTCTGGTATTCTAAATTATTCTGTAAAACTCGGAACTCAAACATCCGATCGAAAAAAGGAGGCGATTGTAAATTTATGTAACTAAAATGAAAATATTTGATAATTTCCGTTGGAAAAATATATAGAAAGGGACAAACGAATTAGTACTGTGAAAGGATGTGTCATTTAATAGGATGATACCAATGATTTCAATGAGTGTATGTGCAAAAACATTCTCCTACTGTATATTCAATCTTTATTTGTCAAAAGACAATGATGATAAAGTTTACAGAAACAAACACACACACAAACATATATATATAATATATTATGTATACATATGTATATTTATATATATGTATATGTGTATATATGTATGTATATATGTATATGTATGTATATGTGTGTGTGTATAACATTTATACCACCTCTTTGTTTTTTTCATAAAAAGAGGTTGTATCTTGCATTTTAATGTGAATAAATTGTTCACTCAACAGTAATTTACAATCGCGTGATGAAATGCTTTGATATGCATCGGAATACGACTGCAAGTGTATAGCGATGTTGACCTTTTCGGTGTAATATCTATATCTATATCTATATATCTATATATATATATATATATATATATATATATATATATATAGTTTCATTACGGACGAATGACAATATACTGTGCTTACGCTTTTCATTCAATTTTGTGTCTTCATATTACTATTTTCGTTTAGGGAAAAAACGTGTGTAAAAAGTGTCCTAATATTGTATACATCCGAATTTTGCTTGAAGCTGTAATCTTCTCTAAAAAATTTTTCTCGCACCGCTAAATCATTTCTGGATTTTTTTTTTTTTTCTAGTAAATTTTGATCTTGGCTGGATAGGCTACCCACCCCGTGGTCAATTTGGTTACCTTACCATCTTGGACTTGCCTGTGAGTATAAGAGTTCCTATTTTCGCATACTATACAGATACAGACCGCCTGATTATTGCATGAAACTGTTGCATAGTCGGTCTATGCCCACCTGTAATTTGATTTATAAATTTACTATAACACTGACCAATTTTTTTTTTATCCTGTAGGCAATCTTCAGCAGACTATGTTGGGAGTTGCTTATTCTTATTTTCTAATATATATATATATATATATATATATATATGTGTGTGTGTGTGTGTGTGTGTGTGTGTGTGTAATTGGGTTAGTGCATAACATGAGGGGCTTTTGTAGATGAGTTATTTGTCAATAAAAATTGCTGTTAACTTTGTTCTAATAAAAATATTATTTTATTTTTAGGTTATAAAAATGCGTGTGGACAATCATACGCTCCGGAATAATCATTTATTAATGTCATTGTTGAATTGTTATGTTTCCTTTTTCATAATAAAAAACGCCTGATAATTATGCACCAACACACACGCACACTCACTCTCTCTCTCTATATATATATATATATATATATATATATATATATATATATATATATATATATTTATATATGATACTGAGCAATTTTCCCCATAAATACAGCATACCTTAAAACTATATATATGTATGTATGTAAAGTGGGAAATGAATATAATTGGGTTGTTCCATGAAATGTGGCGTTTTTGCAGGCGAGTTGTTTGTTAGTAAAAACTGCTGTTTTGTTTACATTTTTAATGAAAATATTTTATTCTCATCTTATAATAATATTCGTGTTGACAATCATTTAAAATATTATTGTTGAATTGTTATATTTCTTTTTTTCATAAAATATACGCCTGATAATTATGCACCAATATATATATATATATATATATATATATATATATATATATATATATATATATATTACTTTTAATCCGATATTTTTATTACCTCAAACGTTATTTTTATTGGATTCGCGGATTTCCTTAGACGACTCATTTTTTAAAGGGTTTGCGAAGCTTAATCAAATATGGGCATCCATTAAAATAAATTTTTGAAGTATTCAAACTAATTATTGTTCACCTAAATCCATTGATATTGACGTTATCTTAAATGCATCTTATTATATATCTGGGTGCATATGTTGATAATATATTTTAAAAATGTATTTATCTGTATCCATGCAGTCATTGATCGATTGGCCTATACATCAGAACCTATAGATTTTTCATGGCGGCACGTGGATTTTATGTGCATACATGAGTATGGTGTATTTGCCTATGCATTTGTACATATTTACCATTATTTTTATTAAATATACACTTGCATACATATATATGTAATTTGGATTAACTCCTGTGGATTTCCCATGTTACCTTCACTATACACACACACACACACACACACACACACACACACACACATATATATATATATATATATATATATATATATATATATATATATATATATATATTGTTTATACGTTATTTTATAGATACAAATATTTAAGTAAATGCTCCGTTTAAAATAAGCAATATTAGCAACATTTACCGGCCAGATTGTCCGAGAAATTTCAAAGAAAATATGTGTCCTCCGACAGGATTCAAATCTGTATCCTAAACGGAACCGCCATATAGCCTGACGCGCTATACCCTTTAGCTATAGAGGAAGCGTCTGGTTAGCAATGTTAAATTACTGTTTTTAAACTACAAACTTCACATGATTTCTCTCGAACGTTCATATCTACACGAAGCGTATCTTAACGTAAACAAATGACATAATATATTATTTTATTATATTTGTGACTTACACGTTATTTTTATAGATACAAATATTTAAGTAAATGCTCTGTTTTAAATAAACAGTTTAACTACATTTACCGGCCTGATGTTCCGAGAAATTTGTAAAAAAAATATGTGTCCTCCGACAGGAATCGAACATGCATCCCCCATGGAACCGTAATCAGGTCGATAAATGTTGTTAATATTGTTTATTATAAACAGAGTATTTATATAAATATTTTTATCTATAAAAATAACGTATAAACAAAAAATATATTAAAATAATTTTCGGACTTAGTCCCTGTTAATATATATATACATATATATATATATATAGTAGGTATTTTTACATATGTCTGGTATTTGCTACAGTATGTTCTTTGACCCTGAAGACGACGTCAGTGCAGCTAATAAAGCGTTAACTTTGTTAAGTGATGGAGGAGAAATATTAAGTGAAGTGATGAAGAAAAAAGAAAATATTTAAATGATGCTAGTAATGAATAATAAAAACAAAGGCTAAGAGATGGAAAGACAGGATTTTTCTGTTGAAAGAAAGAAAAAAAGAGTGTGAAAATCGTGACAGAGGAATAAGTAGAATTATTGGTAGAAAGACGACCACACACACAAAAAAAAAAGGAAAAACGAAAAATTTAGGAAAGAAGGCTAATCTAGAACAATAGCCAATTGAAAGTCAAACTGGGTCGGTTAAATGAGGTTGGCATAATGGAGTAAAGAATAAGCATATAGAGAAAGTTAAAGAAGCAGTAAATGAATGAAAGAAAAGGAAATGCGTGAGAAAAACACTTAGAAAGGGAAAATAAATTTGAATAAATGTGATATCATAACTTGTTGTAAAGTCTTGAAGCATTTTTGCCGAAGAAGGAGGGAATAAAATACACACAAAAATAAAAAAAAATGATAGAAAAACCCGGTTCTTTTTCCTTATTTTGACCATAATCATCTTTTCCATTTAAAAATCATTATCAAAATGTAAAAAGTAACAATTTTTAAAAATGAGTAGGTGAACGTAGACAAATTTTGGACGGTTTTCAAGCCCTTTACTACAAACGCATATAAAAGGCTATTGTATCGCTTCAATGATCGTCGCATGTTTTCGGGAAAATAATCAGAAAGATGTTTCTTAATTTTTTAAATTCCTCGTTTTTTTTTATGATTGTGCAAGCCAAATGTTTCCAGTAAGTCAGAATAATTCATGTAATATCGCGTCCCTATTATCGAAATGCAAGAAAGCTTGGAGAATGAAACACTCACAGGAATTATTGAAGCAAGAAGAGCAGAAAATAACAGTGAGTGAGATTCTTGACAAGTTTTTTTTTTTGTAAATTGATGCCAGAACAGCGAGTAAGAGGAATAGTGGCAAGACAAACATTGCTAAGAACAACAAGGGAGGCAAGTTATGGGTAGCTATGATCCTTCCCATCTAGAATGAACCAACACGTAAAAGAATAACATTTAAACACTCTTCGGTACTTGCTTTGAATTTCAGAAAGCAGCATTCTTTAAGTGTGTTTCATATTTAATATTTCTCGAGGGTTGCCAGTTTTTTTGAACAGGAGTAGATGTTTATTCCTTGTTTTCTGTTTAGGATTAGGTTTTCATCCCTTCGAAAATCTTCTCATTTACTTTCACCCCTAGTAACCCCCTGTGTCTTAGTGGTATTATCGCCTTGGTTGGTGTGAAATGATTAAAAAAAAAAAAAAGAAGAAAACATCTGTTTTCTAGGACCGGCATGCTTTATATATATGTTAATGTGGCGGAAAACTATATTTCAACTTTCTACTTCCGCTTCTGCTACCAAAGAATGATTCATATATTTTTATTTGATTTCTATTCAAATTTACGACTCATGTAATTATTTTCTCTTCTGAAATATTAATTGAAAAAGTGGGGAAAATATGTAAACAAAATGCCGTAATGTAAACAACAAAGAAAAAGAATTCAAAACTAAAGGTAGCGATAGATTTTACAATCTAAAGCGATGGCCATCTTGTGAAAATTTTATAAAAATAAAATAGTAAATTTAGTTTTTTTAGTTTCTTATTTTTTTCTTAAGCGCACCAGGTTTAGTTGAAAAACAAATTAAAGTATCTCATTAAAATTATTACAAAGATTAAAAACAGTAAGAAATATTTTTTTTTTTTTCAAAAACTCATTTTAACCGAACATTTCGACAGCACTATACAGTTGTATTGGCATGTTTATGAGGTTAAAATTTCCATATTCAAAATCTTTTGCATGGTTCGTTTTTTAACGTTTGTATTTCGGAATGATTATAAAACCTCGCTTTTTTTTTTCAAAAAGGATTGGAGAATTGACGACATAGTCAATTCTGAGTGACAATTTCCTTTTAAATTCGATACTTCATTAGAGACGATACCATGTACCAATCCTACCAAAAACATTAAATTCTCTGTATATCATCCTGGTTTTGATCTAAGCACAGACTTTTCCTTAAATCGTAACCATTGTATCATTCGCCGAATATGATTACAAAGGTTATATTGCTTCATCGCTGATGAAGATCGTTTCCAGAGATGGTTGGTAGTGTGCTGTTTCCTTAATGCCAAAGAAATGTTGAATCTCTTTAACTTGAGTACCAGTCAGATCATGTGGAACCTATTGGCCAAATTTTAACATTTTACCGTTTTTGTTTTTGTGGTGGGTTATTGTTGTATTGGTGGTATTGAACTCCTGTGATTTGACGTACTGTCTGTCACCTAAGTATCCTCTTCAAGATTCTAGGACCGTTGCGTGCTGGACGATTGCGTTCCTGGACATTTACATCCCTAGACAATTGCGTACCTCTGATAATTTTTATGGCCAAATGCCATAAATTTAGAAAAAAACATAGGTAATAATCATAAACTTTTAAACAATGAATAAAAGGAATGAAATTAAAAAAAAATAGTTTATTTTTGTTTAAAATGCAATGACAGATTAAGTGTTGCAAGATCGCTCTACACAACGCCAGTATGTCTTTGTTTCATCGGCGTTTTTCTTATGATAGTGGTAGCTGTAATTTTCCTTGTCCACAAATATTTTTTCACCAGCGTTTGATTTTCAGAACTTAGCCATGGGTTTCAAATAAAAATAAAATCTATAAAATCCAGAAACTATGAGATGTTTGTGGTACGCACTGCTGGATTGAACTGAAACTGCTAGCTTAATTTTCTCCTGGTTCTCTCTTTTTTTAAAATTTATGGTAACTAGCTTTCTGTTTGTTTAGAGTAAATAAAGGTATTGGTTTGTAAATTTCTATATTAAACAACTCTTAAAAAAAAGAAGTCAACTTCAAAAATGATCAGAGGTATGCAATTATCCAGGGACGCAAATGTCTGCTACGCAACTCTCCGGGACGCAAATGTCCAGTACGCAGAGGTCCGTCCACCTTTCTTCAATTAGTCTAAGTAAATCTGTATTTTTTATTGAAGCCGCTTGTTCAGAATGAAGGGAATATTGGAGGTTAAGTCTCCTCCGACTGAAGTTGAGTAAATTTCCACTGGATTTTCTAGATTTTTTTTCTCTGGATCGAATGCAATTATTCTTCCCTGCTTGTAAAACTAATGACTGATAGCAAAAAAAAAAAAAAAAAAAAAAGAAGACTTTCATTGCAAACTAATATTTTCTTAAGAGTGACCAAATTTAACAAACTGATAAAAATTGCCATTAGATTTTATATATAAATTGGTGCCATGCTGACGCCAGCATAATTATCGATTTAACATCATCCATTTAAGCAGTAATTTGTATTACTATGCTCAAAATCAAACCGACACACACAATTGTGTGTGTATATATATATATATATATATATATATATATATATATATATATATATATATATATATATATATATATATATATATATATGTGTGTGTGTGTGTGTGTGTGTAAAGAAAAAATTTTGGCCAATGATTTTCGTCCCCTTAGCTAAATGTGGAAATTATATTTTCTATATTTACATACAGAAGTAAAGCAAAAGAAAAAAACATGCTTAAGTTTTCAAATTTTAAAAAATGTTCTTAAA